CACATACATACCACTAGTCCCCGGTCTCGTCTCGGCCCTTTTTGAATCGAGTACGGATCCTCCGCTTTCAGTAGTACGGGCCCATACTACCTTCCACGTCTATCCGTACTTTCCTCAAGAATTGCCTCAACTCAACCAAGCCCTTTCTACTAATACTGCGGTTCTCGTGCTACTCACACCCTAGGCTTGCCCTAGATAATCGCCATCCCACCCTCTGCCATCAGCTGCATAAGAAGTTCCTGCCTTCTTCCCCTAACTAGCTCGTGAATACTATTACATATTACTCAGACTAGATAATTATTCGAATGAGAGGTCCTACCCTACAACGGTTGGACTCAAACAAGAGCTGCGAAATAGGGCTAGACCTAACCTTCTGAAATTATTTAATCCTTGCAATATGTAACTTAGCATATTCGTTCACTAGTTAGTGAAAGACGACTAGAACTCCTAATAGCACAAAGCAAGCAGCATTCGGGCATTGAGTACACATAATCAAATATATACTACTCTGGCTATCATACTGACTGATCTGTACTAACATGCAATTCTCATAAAGCCGAAACACATAAAGCAGGCACATAAGGCATCATTCCTAGATCCTTAGTCCTATTCTAGCATGTTGTTCTACTGAAACTGAAACTGATAATCATAACATAAACTTGTATGGGTACTTTGGGGAAAACTTACTTGAGCTCGGCCGGTCGCGCACATCACACACCTTTTTCTTTTTAGAAACCCCTTTTACTTAGTCTTTAGAAAATCATTTCTTTATAAAAATCTTTTTAATCCCTCGATTTGAGTCTAGACACCCCCAAGGTGTATCCGAATCCCTCAAACCAAGGCTCTGATACCAACTTGTAACATCCCAAAAATACCGACTAAAAATTTCATTTTTAAATTAGGTTAATACATAAAACATCGTTATAAAACATTCATAATAATACTTCGTGTCTGAAAACCAGTAATATCATAATAAAATATTCAGAGTACATCCCAGAAAATCCATAGTGCGGAAAACATGAGAGTGTGTGATATGCTGCTACCGCGTCGGCTCCTTTCCCTAGCTGAAGAGGTACCTGAAAACAAAACTATAAAACGTAAGCACGAAGCTTAGTGAGTTCCCCCAACGAACCTCATACCACACAATCACATAGCATACATGTTTGCCGGGCATTTCTGGGTGCCCGACCTTCCCCTTCGGTCCTGTCGACCGGATACTGCCTAGCATATCTGGGTGCTGGCCTACCCCTTCGGTCCTGTCGACCGGATCGGGGACTATTTCACCCCCTACAAATACTACCACATAATAACTTACCACATAACCCATACATCATAATCTGCTAACACATAAAGCATATCAGGTAGTAACAAACCTAGATGATTATCACATAGACAGTCATCTATCATACGACTCCTACTAGTGGGCCGGCATTGTGGCCTTAGACCCACTTCTACTGGAAGGTAACTCACCTCGAGAATAGCTGCCGAAAACCTGCTCAACCTACGCCTGGCTGCCGCACCGGTAATCCCTCCGGCTATAAATCCGTAAACATGGATTAGGTACTCATAAATACCCCTTAGGTCAAATGACTGGTCAAAGTCAACTTCTTGGTCAAAGTCAACGCTCTGATTGACTGGACTCGCCGAGTCCATATAGCGACTCGCCGAGTCCTCCTACGTCTAGTCCGACTCTGACTCACCAGTTCCCTGTTCCCACTCACTGAGTCAGCCTGACTCGCTAAACGGGGACAACCAACAAATCGCGACTGGGCTCGCCGAGTCCAAAGGGGAGACTCGCCGAGTCCGACGAACAAATCTCACAAAATTCTCCAATCTTCCATTAGAACATCAACCTTGGAGATCTGGAGATTCTGGGGCTATAGCTACACGTTAAATTGCTAATTTCACGTGCGGTTACGAAGGGTTGGACCTTCTTCACTTAAACCCTTCTTATCCTAGTAACAGTTCATATGACTCGCCGAGTTGGAAGAACAACTTGCCGAGTGCAAGGCTATATTCAAGGGACTCGCCGAGTTTGAGGAACAACTCGCCGAGTACCTGGCAATCTTCATAGGACTCGCCGAGTTTGAGGAACAACTCGCCGAGTCTAAGGCCATCTTCATGGAACTCGCCGAGTGCACTTTGGCACTCGCCGAGTACCCTTCGACTCTTCACCCATTCTGGCCAAAACTGAGACATGCAACGGTTCCAAACCATAAATCTAGGCTCCTAGGGCATAAACACACGGAGTTTGGGAGGTTTAAGGGCTTGCAAACCACATATAAGGGACAAAAAGGGAATCTATATTACTAAAGATCAAGAAGGAGCTTTCTTACCTGGTTAGGAGCTTCTCCCAGGGTAGATTTCGGATCTACCACACTTCCTTGCACCCTCCAACTTCCTCCTTCTTCTTCTAAGCTTCAAACTTCCTTCACCAAGCCAAAATCACTCACAAGGATCAAAATGGGCTAGGGTTTCGCTCTACAGTTCTTCTGGAAGAGAATGGAACGAAATGGGTGAGTTAGAGTGTCTAAATGGGGTGCAATGTCTTTAAAATAGAGTTTCATCCAGACGGGTGGACTCGCCGAGTCCATGCATCGACTCGCCGAGTTCACCGCTTGAATCCCGTGTCCACCTCGCTGCTACTCGGCGAGTCGGGACGCAGACTCGCCGAGTTCGTGGCAAAATTAAGATAAATACTTAAATAAAATCGTATTAGGAACCCGGTGTTACATATGTCGTGGCCTTCCTTGGCCACGCTGTGGTGGCCCAAATATATGTGATCAAATAATTATTGCCACACCATAGCCTTCCTTGGACACGTCGTGGCACAGAGTTTATTCCAAAACTCCATCTTCGGTCCTTGATACAAGTAATCTTAACCATTATGGAACACGGATGTTATAGCTTTCCACATTTTTCTAATTACAAAAACTTTCAAAAGTATAAACACACACCTACCCCAACCCCACCCACCTCCATATATGCCACATCGTAACACCCCCAATCCACCCACACCCACCCACTCCTAAGCCCTACCTCGCTCCACCCCTACCCTACGCCCCACCCCCATGCACAAATACATACATACCAACACCGCCACTAAACCCCCTTCTACACAAACGTACCTCCACATACAACCACCCCACACTCACAAACAGACACCCACCCATCCACAAAAACACACACACCACCCCCACAAACATACACACACACAACACCTCCATGAACACCCCTCCCCCCTCACACACACATCCTTATGCCTACCCCCACAAACACACACACACACACAACCACCCCCACAAATATACTGCCACCCCCAGCCTCACCCCCATAAACATACAAACACCCACCCACTACCCCCACTACCTCCACAAACACACACCACTACCATAAATTCCGACATACCAACACATCCACCACTACAACCACCACCACCACCATAATCACCACCATCAACTTCTGACCACTGCCACACCGCCAACACCAATACCATCCGACCACCACCATAACTGACGCCATCATCGCCACCACCATCATCACCCCACTATTGTCACCACCACCAACACCATTATCATCATCCACACCACCACTGCCACCTCGATTGCCCCTACCACCGCCGCCGCCACAACCACATTCACTACCCCCCCCCCCCCACCACCACTACCATTTTCTAAAAATGAAAACAGATTGAAAAATACACATCTAAACAAGTTTTCTAATTTTATGTAACCAAAAATGAAAAAGTAATAAGTTTTAACTAAACGCATTTTCTAAAATTTTCAATGAAAATTGAAAACGGAAAATGAAAACTGAAATTGAAAACTAGTAAATAGGAAAGGAAACTTGTTTTCCGTAACTAAATGCAACCTAGGTTTTTGGAGAAATGGAGAATGCTATGATGGATAATGTGAAAACAATAATGCTTAACGGGTGTTGCCCTCTCTTGGAGGTTGGGTGTTCAAGTCTCATTGGAGATATAGATGGTATTAGGAGTAGTGTAGATTTTATGTCCTTAAAAATAAATAAATAAATAAATAACCTACTAGATTTTTTTAAAATTTAAAACATTTAGGTTTACCTAAGTTTATAATTGAAAATTAAAGATTGGAAATAATACTAAAATTTCGGGGGTTGCAGTCATTATGGTTTTGAATGTTCAAGATGAATAAACATACAAGATTACTCAACATTACAATAATTGTAGCTTTTTTTGTTATAGATGTTAAAGATGAAAGAATGTTTAAAAGTTATTAAAATTGATTAAATAGATAATTAATTAGGGTAAATATGAAATTTTGATATTTATAATTGATAGAGATAATATTTTATATTTGAATTTATAAAAATGGTAGAATAGTCTATTGATAAAACTAAATATTTAAAATAATTATAAATTATTTAAAAAATGATTTGGATAAATATGATATTTTGAAAGTTTAAAAAAATAAATATAATATTTGTGAAATTAAGTTAGACAAGTATTATATATTAGTGTTTAGTAAGATATATATCAAATTCACCCTTAATATTATATAATTAAAACTAATATATATTCTCAAACTCATCTCATGTATATACTTCATCTATATGAAAATTTTGAGAAACATTTATGATATTAACATATATTTTACTTTTAGTTCAATTCTAGCAACAAGACTTTTCCTTAACAAACATTTTTTATGAACGTACTGCCAATAATATTAAAAGGAAAAAAAAATCCCAATAGAGATTTCACATTATAAATAATTATAAACAATAATACTATTTTTTGTATTCACACACAAGTCAATAATTAAATATTTAATATTGATTTACAATCCCCTATAAAATAAAGTCTTTTAGTCTACTTTTTAAAAACCATTAAAGCGACGTTATCATAAACAATATAAACTGACCCATCACCCCTGTGACTTCGACAATCTCTCCTCTATATGTACGTCATCCAATTTCTGTACTCTACACACCCATCGGAAAACTTCCTTTCTCCCGGCTCAAAAATGAGTTCTGATCACTTTGCAGCACCCCCTTCCGTATCAAATGGGGCTCTTAGAAGCATGGAGCCAGACTATCCAGAAGAAAGCGAATATGAAACACAAGCAGCAGCTCCGAGCCAAGTAAGATTTGTTGGTAGTTCCCAGCAGTTCCCCCTAGTTGATGAACGAACAGTGCCTATAGTTGACTTTGGCTTACCTCCTCAACAATCAACTTTACGTCCTTTCTTTGCCTCGAATGATAAACTTAATGGAAAGGACAACCCTTCATCGGCTGAGAACCGTGGTGGTGGTGGTGGTGGTGCCACTGTCTCCGGTTGGGTGCGCCCAAAAAATTCTGGTAATATCACCCATAATCCTTATAGTAACACGTTAGTCCCAGCTAGCCGCTCAAGCTTTGATGCCCGAGCTCGATCCAATATCAGTATGAGGGGAGACAAATTCAAGCATGCCAACCAGCAACTTGATCTGTATTGATTGACATCCAAATCAATGAAAGAATGAATAAAGTCGCATCTGCAATATCTCACTTGATGGGATCTGTTAGAAGACTGCGTTAAACTTTGTGTATGATTTGTGAATCTTGATTCTGATGTATTTGGTTTCGTCCATTGAAATGTTTCTTCGATATTATTACTAAGGCTAAATTGCAAATACTATTTTATTTAGTATATATAGATGTAATCGGGGCTTTGTTAATTTAATTCAGAACTAAGTTTTTTCCAGCATAATACTTTGGAGCTCCTCAATAGAGTCCAACGGGTCATTCATTCCAATGTCATATATCCTAAATCCACAAATGTAGTTTTCAAAAGAATTGGTTTTGCTATCCAGAAAGAGCTAGCGGCGCAGCTTGTTGTCCGTTTGCCCTCAATCGATATGTATTGAGCTATACAATTTATCATGTTGTAGTTGTATTAATAATAATTATTAATTTAAAAACCAAAAAAAAAAATTACTTTGGCAACAAGTAGTATCTGTTTCTTATTTCCCTGTTCACATTCCTCTGTTCCGTCCCTCTTTATTCTCCCCTGTTTCTGCTGTTGTGCACAAGGTGTAGGTACAGCTGCAAATCTCTCTGATTACACTTGGTATCAGAGAGCATAACCAGGAACAAGGTACAGTCAATCACATCATGGATGGCCAGGAGAAAGACGGATCAGCATCGCTTCGTTACCTGATGTTGTCACACAGGAACTAAGCCATATGGGCCATAAAGCTGAGGGACTTTATTCAGGCGCAAGATGTTTGGGAGGCTGAGGAACCTAAGAAGCCCCAAAACACCATACCAGTTAATAAGGACAAGAAAGCATTGGCAACCATCTATCAAGGAATCCAGGAGGATGTCTTGCTGTCAATTGTGAAGAAGCAAACAGCAAAAGAAGCATGGGATGTGCTTAAAGCATGTATCTTGGAGTGGATAGGGTTGAGGTTGCGAAAGCACAAACCCTAAAGGTGGAATTTGAGGTTCTAGCGATGAAGGAAATGGATTCGATTGATGACTTTGCGCTCAAGATAAATAACATAGTAAGCAACATCCGGGTTTGGGGGGACACAATGGAAACACAATACGTGGTTAAGAAGTTTTTAAGGGCAGCCCCAACAAGGTCCGTGCAATTGTATCAGCCATTGAACAATTTGAGGACCTCGAAACCATGACGATTGAAGAAGTGATCAGCTGTTTGAATGCTTATGAAGAAAGAGTTCGGGAATCCAGTGAAGTGGATGAAAAAAAGCTACTCCTAACTCATCGAGAGTGGGTAGAAAAGCCAAAGAAAAAGGGCGATAACTCCAAAAACTCCAATAAGTCCTATAAGTCCTATCACGGTAACAAAAAGTCACAAGGTCGTGGTAGATGTTGGGGAAGAGGTGGAAATACGTGTGACAGGAGAGTATGTATCAAAGTAATCAATGCCACTTTTTTGTCTATAAACATTATTACTAGCCAATGTATCCATTTGCTTTCATTTTCTTTTTGAAAATCCATGTATAGCCTAGTGGTTTGCAACATTGACGTAAATCCATTGGTTCCATGTATGGCTTTGCAAGATGAAATCGATTTCGCTTTTAATTGCCTCTTCTCACTGAAGTCCTTCAGAAGAAGTGACTGCCTATTTGAAAGTTTGAGGTTCTCTTCCAACCAGATATGTAACATCCCGATGATGAAGTATTTCCAGTTTTAACCTTATGTTTGAAGGAATATTGCAATTTGACCATTGCACATGAGAAAGATTGCAAAAACTGGCCCATAGTGACATTTTGGTGATTTTGGACAAAGACTTAGTACGTTGGGCGTACGTTGTGTACGATGGGCATACTTGGGCGGACCTTAGTACGTTGGGTGTACCCTTCATACGTAGGGCATACGTGAAGGATCCTCAGACCCTAAATTTTAGGCTTTAGTCTATATATAAACATCATTAACTCCTTATTTCTCATTCACTTCTCCGCCTCCGCTTCTATTTCGTCTATCTAGAAACCTAATCCTTTTGGAGAGTGTTCTTGAGCTTTTGTGGGTACTTTTGGTGATTAAGAACGAAGGAGAAGAAGTGAGGACCACCTTGGAAGAGTGAGGCACCTTAGATCCAAAATCTCACCACTATTTGATATCATTTTAAGGTAAAAAGCTCTAAACTTGATGATGATTTGTTTAAGATCTTTTTAGCCTTAAAGTTGTGAACATTTGGGTCCCATTGCCTTGGAATTATGAGTATGGGTTACTCTAAGTCATTTGAGTCATCCTTTTAGATGTTTCAGAACGTTGTGATGCAAAAAAAACTATGATTTTAAGTGTTGTATGCAATCCATGCATGTGTTAGATGGTCTTATTAGGATAAGAACTTAGGGTTTTGGACAATACACACTTTATAGCCATGCAAAGTCTAACAGTTGGAAACTTTATAACTCAGGACATCATTATAGGCTTGGATCTGAGTTTTGGACGCAAGGGCATAATGAAATAAGCTCTTAATGGAGTTTTGGGACTGGGCTGCGTACGATGGTGTACCTGGTGGTACACTGCCCGTACGCGTTGAACGCCCCATTTTTTGTCAACATTAGAGTACACTAGGCGTACTCTCTTGGTACGCAGTGCGTACTCCGCTGGGAAGGGATTTTGACTTTTGGACCTTGACTGTTGACCTTGACTTTGACTAGGGTTGACCAAGTTTGACTTAAGGGTATTTTGAGCTATAGTTAAGCCTTGGTCTCTATTTGTTGAATTGGTAACCTGTAGATCAGGTATTCGGATCAGTGTATTGTTCAGCTATTCGTCAGACAGCAAGGTAAGTTTCCTCACATTATCATGGATCAAAGGCACCAATGTCGGACCACTAGATTATTTATCCTGGATAGGATCGTGTTATGCTAGTCGGTAACTGATTAGTAGATCTGCATGATTATCTTTATTTGTTGGTTCTGTGTTATGTTATTTGCTATATATGTCGACATATTGTATTGGGTTAAGGTTATACTGCTTTGTGCGGTAGCCAACAAAACCGGAACAATCCAGACATTAGTTGTGGGCCCGAGGGCAAGCCAGACTTATGATGTGGGCTCGGGAGCAATCTATATATGAGCTAAGGGCCCGAATGGCATGCCAGACTCATACTGTGGGCTTGGGAGCTATCCAGATATGAGCTGAGGTCCCCGAATGGTATGCCAGACTCATACTGTGGGCTTAATATATGTTATTATATGTGTATGTTTGTTGGTACCTTTGGGGAACTCACTAATCTTTGTCTTACAGTTTTAGTTTATGGTTTCAGGTACTTCCGAGGATCGTGGGAAACCGGAGGTGTGATTGTGCACATCTTCCTTTTTTACATCACTGGAGTCTTGGGAAAAACTCTGATTTGGAAATAATGCTTTTGAAAAAAATTACTTTTTTTGTAAGCAATGTTTATTAATTGTTGATTTTGAAAATTTTAAATTTATTGTGATTTTTGGGATGTTACAATATAAGTGTAGAAATCATCTCCAAATGACTTCTCAAATCATGCGATTTTTACTTCTCCAGGGCTCTATTTCTTCTTTTATTTCGTCGTCATGAGAGGATTCATTTTGCTTGATTATTTTTGGAGCATTTTTCTCGGCCTTATCAAGACATGGAAACATATCCTCAAAGAACGATGCATTTCTTGACTCCAATATTGTGCCTTTGCATATTTATGGTATTTTTTAGTCATGCACAAGAAACTGATAAGCAATACTATTTTGTGCACATCCAATAAATATGCAATCAATAGTCTTGGATACTATCTGAACCACCTTGGGTGTAGGTACCACGACCTTTGCAAGACACCCTCACATTTGAAGGTATTTGTAGGATGGTTTTATACCCGACCATAACTCGTATGATTTTTATCCGATTTCTTTATGGTACCTTATTTAAAAGGTAGTTAGCTAACAATACAGCTTCCCCCTCCCCCCCCCCCCAATTGAGGATGGCAACCCAAAACTTAAAAACATGGCATTCATCATTTCCTTCAAGGTACGATTTTTTCTTTCCGTGATGCCATTCTTTTGTGGTGAATAAGGTGAAGTAAGATCATGTATTATACCATGATTTGCATAAATTTTTTCAAATGGTGACACATATTCTCATCCACAATCACTTCTTAGTGCTTTAATTTTCTTGTTGAGTTGATTCTCAACTTCAATTTTATACACTTTAAACTTCTCTATGGCCCCATATTTACGTTTAAGTAAATAAACATAGCATTATTTAGTGCAATAATCAATAATAGTGATAAAGTACTTATTTCCAGCCTTAGATGGAATCGACTTCATGTTACACACATCTATGTGAATTAATCCAAGTGGTTCTGTTGTCTTTTGAATGGATTTGAAAGATTATTGTGTTAATTTCGATTCAACACAAGTGTTACATTTGCATTTTTAGTCAATGTGAAAATATGGTATGAGACCGAGTTTAATTAGACATCGAAGAGTGTCAAAGTTAACATGTCCTAATCTAGCATGCCAAATGCTTGAAGACTCGAGCATGTAAGTAGAAGAGTTATTCATTTCATTATCATTGTCATTTGGATTAAGAGCCATTACACATAACGTGAACATACCCCTATCAGCATACGTCTTACCCACATACACACCATTTTTGGTTTACACAAATTTATCCGACTCAAACACCATGCAAAAACTATGCTTTTTAAACAACCAACCCGACACAAGATTCTTACGAATTTCAGGTACATAAAACACATCATAACGTCAGCTCTCTTCCTAATGTCATCTTCAAGACAATCTTCCCAACACCTTGGATATCAGAATTCATCGAGTTTCCCATGAACAACTTGTCACCATTATCCACAACCTTGAGGTTTCTGAACCAATCTCTATTCAAGCAAACATGATGAGTAGTTCCTGTATCAATCCATCATTCCCTTAGATTGGACACAACAAGGATAACTTCAGAAATAACTGCTATAAGATCGATATCAGACACATCTTTGGCT